CTGCAGTTCGAACATTTATAAAGTCATGTATTTCATTCTAGACAATCGTTTATGTGTGTGTGAACACACATATGTGTTTATGAACACACACAAAACTATTGTATTTTTGTCCACCCTGTACAAATTTGAACATACATGTGATACATTTTTGAAACCAGCTCAGCTAGATTGAGACAAAATGGGGGTGTTCTGTTTAAAAAAAATGACGGTTCTGTTTAGCTAAAAAAAGAATTTGTTCCATACTTTATGGACACAGTATATATATATATATATATATATATATATATATATATATATATATATATATATAATATATATATATAATTTTTTTTAGATAATTTTTCACAGTTTTATTGGTTCTGTTTTTTTTGTTATTAACTTTGTCGATCTCTCTTTATTATTGTATTTCTGATTTGACTTTCGGCCTTTTTTATAGTCTTAAATCCCTGTGACTTAAAATCAAGCTTAGTCCTTTGTTATTTGCTTCATTTATATAAAATGAAATTATTCATTTCTAGGAAAAAAAAGAGTAGTGCCCAAACCATCGGATCTTGGATATTACCATTGGAAATCGGGACGAGTTGTCTGCAATGATTCACTAAACTACAAAGTTCAACAGGATCCTAATAAGGGACTGATTTTTCAAAATAGATTTGACAGAAAAATGATCAATCCAGCTCCTGGTGTAGATCCAGGTGCGAATACTACTAGAAAAAGAATTTATACAAACATGTATGAATTGGTTATTGTATTTGACCATCTTGTACGGCAGAGAATTTAAAAATATATTTATTGAAGGCGCCTACGATATATATACACATTGTTTAAATATTATTTTTTATTTCAATCTTATACTCTAGAAATATATTAATGATTGTAACAAAAACTAAACATCGCTGTCGGTATATGATGAAAGATATAATATGCTTTTAAAGAATAAAAAATGCAAAACGTATTCTATTAAACTAATGAAGTTGTTGACGTCTTTCATTTGTCAATTACTGACCGATAAAAACTATGAATCTAATCTGTTAAATATATTTTCAATATATTTATGTGTACATATTTATGTGTATATACAGAATTGAACATAAGTGAACAAAGCCATGGTGAACAACACAGAAAATTCAGAATAAAGATTAGACAACCAGGGATCGCAATTGATGCTTGATCAACACAGGAAATAAGAAACGCACTAAAAAAAATTAAAAGGAATAAAGTTACGGGAGAAAATAATATCGTTGTAGAAGCCGCAAAGATTGGAGGAGACAGACTTTGAGAAAATAAAAAAGTTATTCAACTTATGTCTACACCAACGTGCAACACCTACAAGATGGCACAGTGCACTGACCATTTTCTTACCCAACAGACCTTGAGAATTATCGACCCATCAGCCTGTTAAACCACCTCTACAGGTTATTCACAATAATAATAATAAATTGAAAACAAAATTAGATTTTTATCAACCTAGGTAACAGGCAGGTTTTAGGAAAAACTTTTGGACCAATGACTACTTTCACTGCATAAAACGGATTATAGAAAAATCCATCAAATAGAATCGATCATTGGTTCTTTGGTTTTCGTAGATATTCGAAAAGCATTCTATACGGTAAAAATTAACAGCGTAATGGGAGCGTTGGAGGAAAGTCTCGTAGATTCTTTAAATAGATACTCCGAATATATACAATAATACAACCATGACCAATACTACACAAATATACAAAATCTATGAAAATCCAAGGAGGAATCAGACAAGGAGACACGTTATATATTAAACTCTTTACAGCAGTTCTGGAACATGCTTTCACAAAATTGGAGTAAGAAGCCAAATGAATCAATGTCGATGGCGAAATATCAGAAAACTTAACAGAGATTGGAACTATGCTTACTAAGTTAAATGCCGCCTGTAATGAAGTTGGTTTAAACATGTATTTTGTAAACATACAATACATGGCAAATCTGGTACCAAGCAAAGAACAATAAGCCGACTGTAACGAAATGATGGTGTCACTCTATAAAGATAAATGGGACATTCAAAACTATAAGTACTATAGAGGGATAACGTTAATCTCCTACACAATGAACATTTGGGAGAAAACTGTAGAGCGATGTTTAAAGGGGAGACGATCAATTTGGGTTTATGTCAAAAAAGAATGCATCGGATGCCTTGTTTGCTTTGAGTCAGTTGATAGGGAAATACGAAGAAAAGAAAATAGAGCTACATTTATTCTTTATAGATTGTGAGTAGGGGTACAATACAGTTCCTAGACAAAATTTATAAAGACGTATGAAAGAGAAATGGTTTCCTGAGAAACCTGAGGCTCGTGAAGGATATGTGTGAGGGAGCCTACAACAAAATAAGGACTTGTGACGGATTGACCAAAAGTTTAGCAAAAGAAGAGCAAAGGAATGTTGGAGGAGAAGTTGGTAGGTTGAAGAAGGGCTATTGAAGCTGGTTTGACTAAGAAGGGCTGGTTGGTTGACTAATGAGCGGGGTACTCTGTGATCGAAAAATCGTGGAAGAGCTGACACGAAAGATATACAAGTGTGTGGTAAGGCCTGAGTTGGTGTACCGCGATGAAGTGTGGTCTGTGAAGAAGATTCATGAAAAAAAGATAAAGGTAGTTAAAATGAAAATCTTACGGTGAATGTTGGTAAATTTAGAAGATACAGGATCAGGAACGACTTTATTAGGGAAAAAGCTGGGGTGACTACAGTCTCAAAAATGATCAAAAACAAAAACTGGAATGATTTGGCCACGTTTAAAGCAGAAATAAAAACTACCTGAGACGAAGGATAGAGCTGTAAAAAGTTCCAAGGAGAAAATTGAAGGACAGTAGAGGCAGAGACAGTGTGGAAAACTTATTTGAATATTATTTTTATTAAAAAAGTTATACCACCCAAATAATGTATTCCACTGACTTTTTATTTTGAAATACTTTATATTATATCGAATATGTTTACCAAATATGACCACAAGATAATAGTAAGATATCTACAGTTTTATCAATGCAGAGTTCTTCCCTCGACACTACCACACTTTAAAAATTTAATACATTCTCTAACTTCTCCAAAATAGGTGATAGTTTATACAGTCGAAGTTCTTTGTCACTATTTTCATTGTCATCAAAACGCAAATTGGCGAATTTTAATTCAAAACGATTACGCGACATAAGATACTTCATTTTTCTTTTGCAAAATAGATTTTTTGACCAATACCAACACAACTTTGGCAATCTTTGCAATCTCATCTAGACCAGAATGGCCAAAAACGTCTTTATTTCTTCAGTATTTGTATCTACCCTCTTCTAGCTTTTGGACCGTTACCACCTCCATTCAACTTTTAATATGCATATCGAATAGTTTCTTACACAGTCCATTCAATGATATCGTCATTCACAAATAGTTGAAACTAGTTTAATCATAGATCTAAAAAAACTCAGCTTTGATACTCGAGTCTTGAATACTGAATGTGATATTTTTCAAATTCTTATTTTGATATATTCCATACCAACGGTGTGGTAATAATCGATCGCAACGACATCGTCTTCTGAAGAGCTTTCGATATTGGAAAATATTGAAATCTGATATTGTGTTCAATGGTATCGTGTACTGTTCTTGAACTTTGCGATGTTGAAGGTAAATCTTGTAAATTACTTTGATTTTTTGTCTTTTGCTTTTTGGAACACCTTGATTTGATGAAGAACTACTTATTTCGTCATCACTATCTAATTCAAAATTTTTATCACGAACACTGTTATTACTCTTTTCGTCTGAAAAAAACTCTTCCACTTGCTTTTGCAAACGCTTTTGCTCATTTTCATGACATCTTGAGAACTAATAACCGTACATACTACAACCTCGCCTACCGACAACTAACTAATAAGTAACACGTAGTGCATTTGGATAGCGGATTTATCGTATAAAATAAACAAGATACAACAGGTTCAATCTTGTCTTATACGAAAAGCAAGTGTCCATCACATGGCTCCAGGAATCCAAAAGTTATTTGTGGCCACGAGATGCAGACGTCTTTCTCAATTAAAATTCTAAAAAATTCTAAATTCTAAAAAACAATAAAAATGTAAGAGTTTGTACTCAAACTAAAGTATAAATATATAAAATGCATAAACTATTACTATTAATGTGTTTAATATTTTGGCCCACATAACTTTTTTTACACGCATTGTGGCGTTTAAGGTGTTAAACTATCTTAAAAATATAGATAAAATGAACAAAATGAGATTTTATAAAGTGTTCTAAAGTGACGAAAGCAACCACGTTTTTCATTATCAAATAAACAACTTGCTAATATCCAATTGGAATAACTTTTAAACAATAAACATTTTTCAACAAAATTTATGTGCACCTTAAGGGTGTTAAAAGACATATTTTTAAGTAATGTTATTATTTATGTCTATATGTTATGTTGATTGCTCCTACAAGTTTTTGCATTTTTTCGCATTAGTTTAAATAAATTATCAACCAAGTGTAATTTAGAAGGTTTCAAATGAATCGTTTTTTTATAACCTTTCAAGTGAACAAACCTAAAAATTTGTAATTAGAAAATAAGTATTGAGAAAAATAAAAAATAGTTATTTTCGGTGATTATTACTATAAAATCATTGTTTAAACAATGGCCCCGTTATTTTAAACTGATGCTTTTAACAAAAATCCATGTCTTCATGCTAAAACATCAATTTTTTCAAGCATTCGTTCTGAAATGAATTACGATACTTTTTACATGTATTATAATTTAATTTGACTTGCCCATTACTTATTTTGGTGTTAATGATACAATCGTATTTAATTGTAATCAAATCCATTGGACATTTTTATCTACTTTTAATATCATATTTAGTTTGCGTTGCAATAATCTCATGCAATTTAATCTGTTAATCTAGTTCAATGAATTTTTTAGACCTTAATTTATTTCAACAATCTCAAATTTCCTTTTTTTCATTGGCACTATAAAAACCCAGCAAATAATTTGTATATTTATCATTCAGTGTTTACCTTCACAATTTAACTAATATTTTAATTTTAAATATTTCGTATAAACTATATTTTAAATTAAAACATGGCATTTAAGCTCGTGATTTTTGGTACTCTTTTCGTCATATGTAGCGCTAGACCTGGTCTGATTGGAAATGGATTAGGTGCGATAGCTACACCTGGAATAGCTGTTGCTCCAGCTGTTTCTGTTAACTCTGGAATAAGCACTCAATCACGCGTTGACTATAGAACTCCAGTTGTAACCTCCGTTGCTCTTCCTGCTGTTGCTACCTCTGTTGCGTTGCCAGTTGTTGCCCCTGCCGCTTATGGGATTGGATATGGTCCAGCATTATCTGGAGGATATGGAGGATATGGAGGATATGGTAGTTATGGTAATGGTCATGGACATTAAGAGATACATCATGTTAATTATCTTCAGTTCTAAAATAAACATCTGATAAATAATTGTAAAATTTTATTCTATGATGTTTGAATAATATTTATCTTTACAACTGAGCTTTCTACTTAATAATTGTTATGTTTCCTAGAAGGAATTAGGATTAAAACACTCCTTGTAAGTCTACCTGATAGGTATTTGGATCTTTTGTAATCTACTTTTTTCGATTTATTCCAGAATTAAGCAGTTACTTAAATTACAAAAAGGTTTTGGCATAAATGGCATTTTGCATATATATTGACTAATCAGCAGGCAATATCGTTGCCTCTTACTGCAGTATATCATGCAACCTACAGGAAAGATACTTAATTTTTCTGGTTTAGTTCATTTTATTTCTCTAAGCATTCCCATGTCCCCTTGATGTTTATCCTTAATTTTTTTGTTTATGTTAACCACGCGCATTTTTTAATTTTGTGAATTTTCGTCTAGTTAATGCTCAGTATATTACCCTAGTACTCTGAGTGTTCAGTTTTTAGCCATTATACTCATATCCACTATTTTTATTCCTTTTTTTACTTCATGTCATTATTGCTTAGCTAAAAAGTGGTGTCTTTATCGTATTCGTTTTTGTAGCTAAACTTTATAGAAAAAAGGTCTACAATGGGACCTATATATCCTACAGCATGATGATGATTTAAGGATTAAGCTTTTTTGCAAATTTTAGTAAGTGAGTTTTACTAGGATTGATCTAAACACCCATCTTTCTGTAAAAATAATAAATATTTCCTTCGGAATTATGTCGACATTGTCGATGTATTTCTGATCTGACCGATTATTAGTTTCTCTAATCGCATGTACATTAATCTACTCATCATCATTATGGCTTTAAACTCTGCATGGGGCCTAGCGTCCTCAAGAATTTCTCTCCAGTCGTGCCTATCCATCGTCTTCCTCCGCCAAGCGGGTATTCCATATTTTTCATGTCTTTATCGATGTTATCAAGGAACCTTGTTCTGGGTCTTTATCTTCTTCTCTGACCAATGGGTAGATCAAGGAGTGTTGTGTCTGTACGGTTAGAAATTCTTATAATGATGAGTAATATCACGAATATTCAAAAAATAATAAGAAAAATTGTACAAGAGGAAAGAAACAAAGGAAACGAAGTCAAAATAGGAGCAAGGAAAATGATGATAAATGGGGTTGAATGGAAGTGGAAGAGTAAGAAAGATAAAATGGAAATAACAAACTCAAAAAACTAGAAAACGGCTATGATAGTAAAAATACGAAGACGAACAACGCAAGGAACAAGGACATGAATATCGGCAACATTGTCATAGAAAAGGGTGATTTAAAGATAAAAAACACAAAAAAAGGCAATAGAAACACATATCCAAAAGATCACTTAATGGTAGGAACGTGGAACGTAAGGGGTACTTTTGAGGAAGGAAAACTGAAACACTTAACTAAAGAAATTGAAAAGTTTAAATTTGACGTAATGACACTGCAAGAAACAAAGCAACTGGGTCAGGAAATGCTGGAAATTGAAAATAGCAAATTTTTTAATAGGGGAGCAGAAACAGAATATTAGGCACAGGATTTATGGTAAATAAAGCGTTAAAAGCATCAATTGTTGAGTTTAAACCAATATCTGATCGTCTATGTTGTCTAAGAATAAGAGGAAAATATCAAAAAATCACATTCATTAACATTCACTCACCGTCAGAAGAAAAAGATATTGAAGTAAAAGAGAATTTCTACTGTGAAGTTAATAGGGTATTTGAAAGTATTCCAAGATATGACATTAAAGTAGTACTGGGAGACGCAAATGCAAAGTTAGGAAAAGAAGAAGTATATAGAACAACTATAGGAAAATTTAGCAAACACGAGGAAAGTAATGAGAACGGGCAGTTTCTGACAGATTTTGCCAAAGAAAAAAATATGCTAGTAATGAGTACATATTTCGAGAGGAAAACCATCTACAAAGCCACATGGCGATCCCCAGATAGAAAAAATCATATCGACCAATTCCTAATAGAGAAAGAAGACCGAAAATATATAAAGAACGTGCGAACATACAGAGGACCAGAGGCTGACTCGGATCACTTCATGTTAGGAATTAAAATTGCTCAACTGATACCAGAAGAAAAAAATCGCAAAAGAAAAAATAAGAACACAAATAAACCAGTGCGGCTTGTAACTTAAGAAGAACAAGAAATGTATAAAAAAGGTAAAAGAAATGTGTAAAATAGGTAGAAAATTAAATGAAATACACCTAGAAGGGCACATAGACAAGGACTGGGACAAAATTCAGCAGATTATCAGTAATACAGCTAAAGAATGCAATAAAAATATAACCAAAAAGAAAAGGATTGGTTTGACGAAGAATGCCAGAAGAAAATTGAAGAAAGAAGTAAACTAAGGATGGATATGATCAAAAGTGATACGAAAGAAACAAGAAACAGATATGAAAAACAAAGAAAAATCGTAAAAAAAGTTTTGAGAATGAAAAAGAGAAAGTACATGGAAAATCAGCTAAAAGAAATAGAAGAAAATTACAAAAATCGAGAAATTAGAAATTTATATCAGGGAGTAAAAAATAAAAAAAGAGGATACCAACAGAAAACAATATTTTACAAAGATAAAGAGGGAAACGCCATAAGTGGAGAAAATGAAATAGCCGCTAGATGGAAAGAATACTTCGATGAATTGCGAAATGACGAAAACAGGATAGAACAACCACAGCCTATAAGAACGGAGAAACACAGGAACCAAATAAATGAGACAGAAGAAACACCCCCTACCAGAAACGAGATAAAGGAAATAATAAAGAAATTAAAAAATAAGAGTCCAGGAAGTGCTAATATAACTGCAGAGATGTTCAAATATGGAGGGAAAACGCTAGAGGAGCAAATGTTCAAATTAATAAAGGAGATTTGGATTAAAGAACAACAACCACAAGAATGGACAGATGCAATTATATGCCCACTTTTTAAGAAAGGCGATAGGACAGATTGTCAAAATTATAGGGGGATATCACCATTGAATACTGCATACAAAATTCTTGCAGCGTGTATAAAAGACAAATTGGCAGGAGTGATAGAAAACATTGTCGGCGAGGACCAATGTGACTTCAGACCTGGTAGAAGTACAATAGATCAGATATTTACGCTCAGAGAATTGCAAGCGGAAAGTTACCAACACAATCTGCCGACAAGGGTCCTCTTCATTGATTTCAAACAAGCGTACGATAGAATAAAACGGAACCAAATGAGCAAAGAACTAGAAGAATTCGGTATTAGTAGAAAACTTATAAGAATGATACAGATAACGTTGTCCAAGACTGAGAGCAGAGTTAAAATAAATAATATAATGTCGGAAAAATTTGAAGTCAGTGAAGGAGTAAGGCAAGGAGATTCCCTATCATCGATACTATTCAGCTTGTGTTTGGAGAAGGTCATACGAGATGCAAATGTCAACAGAGAGAAATTGTTATACCAAAGAAAGCACCAATGTGTAGCCTTTGCTGACGATGTAGTAATACTGGCACGAAGCAAATGGGAGCTACAAGAAGTAGTATTACTTCTTGTAGCTTAGCTTAGTGGCTTAGCCATCAAAGAAAGTAAGACAAAATTCATAGAATGGATAGATGACAGTGAACAAAAAGGAGGAAATCTAAAAATAGAAGTAAAGGGTGAAAAAGCATATATATTTGAAGCAGTGGAAAGATTTACATACCTGGGGTCGATGTTCACATGCAAACCAAATATTAGAGAGGAGCTACAATCAAGAATAATGGCAGGAAACCGATGCGTGTACTCATTAAACAGGCTATTAAAAAGTAAACAGATATCTAGGAATGCCAAAATAAGGATTTACAAAACAGTTATACAACCAGTGGTAACCTACGCCAGTGAAGTGTGGACACTGAACAAAGGCGAAACAGGTATGCTCGAAATATGGGAAAGGAAGGTTTTGAGAAAGATATTTGGAGGCAAGATAGTAGACAATACATGGAAAAGAAGAACAATTAAAGAATTAGAAGATATGTACAAGAATCCTAGTATAGTGGGAGTAGTAAAGGCTCAGAGACTCAGGTGGCTAGGGCACATAGAAAGAATGACAAATTCTCGAGTACCCAAAATGACTCTGATGCATACTATGGGTACAAAAAAAGGAGAGGAAGGCCGGGAAGTAGATGGCAGCAAGAAGTAAGAAAGACCTAGAAACACTGGGAATAGAAAGATGGAAGGACAAGGCTACTAATAGGAAGAAATGGAAAACAATAACATCTCAAGCCATGGGCCTACTAGGCTCGTAGTGCTATTATATATATATATATATATATATATATATATATATATATATATAATATATATATATATATAGATATATATATATATATATATATATATATATATATATATATATATATATATATAGATATATATATATATATATATATATATATATATATATATATATATATATATATATATAACAGACAATTGAAGGTAACCGGGAACGACCCAATACTAAGGAAGCAATAAAAAACAGGTGCTTCAAAGTGAGTGTCTTTTATTAGTAGTCAAGTTTTCGCCACATAATTTTGGGCTTCATCAGAACTTGCTGTAATGGAAAAACATTCTTTACAATCATCGTAATTAAAGATGTTATTTTGAATATTACCTTAACGTTGACACTATTTCTTAGTGTAAATTATTGCAGATGTGGAACTACACATTGTTTTCCAAATACAAACCAAAACGCATCTCCTACTTAGAGGAAGACGGCAAACAAAGCTTAAATTAAATAATTATTAAATTTGTTATATTTTAATCACCATGTGGCCGGTATTATTTTTGACAAGACAATTGTTAATTAAGTCATGTGTCATATCGACTGTCACTTATCGACTTAATTTATTTGGGAGTTATGGTAACCGCAATATTTTATAGAGTGAATTCCCATTGTACAATTTTTAGCGAATAAGTTTTAGTAAACAATTACATATTGTGACAGTTATCCATATAATAAGGTACAAAAGTAGAAGATTGAGAAAGAATCCGGAACATGGTAAATTGATCTATAAAATGTAATTGATGGTACGTAGTCAGTTATT